TTTCTTTAGTTCCTTTTGAAATTTTTATTTATTATTTATTCATTTTCCCTCTTTTCTCATTTCTTACTTTGGTTCTTTGTTTTGTTTTCTTTTTTTTTTGTTTTTCTTTCTTTTTTCCTTTATTTATATGTTTTGTTATTTTGTCCTTTATCTTTTATCTATTTTATTAATAACCATTTAATTTTATACTTAATCAATTTAATTAAACAAAAAAATCAAACCATACGCCTTAATTTTTTGTTTGCTTAATTTAAGTTTTTTTTGTTAAGGTTTTTTGTCTGTATTAATCTTTATTGTAAATAATTAAACAAAACAAGTGAATAAAATAAGACCTAAATAAATAAATAATGGAAAAATAAAGAAGACAAGAAAAAATTTAGAAAAAAACAAACAAAAAATAAGGCTTAGCATACCATTTTTTATTTCATATTATTTCAATCTTATTTTTTTGTTTTTTGTTTTTGATTTTTTTGATTTTTTAATCTTTTTCTTGATATTTTAATTTTATCAATTTGTTTGGCTATGTGTTATTTTGTGAATTTTTTTGTAATTTTGTTTATATTTTCTGTAAATAACCATTTTTTTATTTTTTTTATTTTTTTATTTTTTATATTATTTTGTCTTATATTTTTTGCTTGCTTTTAATTTTTTGTTTGTTATTTTTAAAAATTTATTTTTTATAAAATAAGTAAGAAATTATTTGAAATTTAGATTCATTTTTGGGTTGTTCTCTTTTATGTGTCACTTATTCTTAGTTTAGTTATTTTAATTTATTGATTAATGGGTGTTATTTTATTGATCATTTTAATTCAAAAATGGTATTTATTGTGTTTTTTTATCTTATTTTTTGTTTGTTACCGTCGTAAACAATAAAAAGAAAGTAATTAAATAAAGTAAGCCAATTAATGTTCAAAAAATAATAATAATAGTAATAAAATTAAAATAACTAATTAATCTTTTTTTCTTTCTTATCATTTTTGTTTTTCATTTCTATATATTTTTTAATAAAAAAAGTAAAAATTAATTTAAACTCGGATTCATTCTTTTTTGTGCGTATGAATAAAAAAGAAATAAAGAGTTAAAAAAGGATTTCAAAAAAAGAAGCAAAAGAAAAGAGGAAAAAATAACGAATAAAAACAAGAAAAGAAAGAAAAAACAAAAAGTAAAAGAAAAGAGTTGGGAAAGAAAGGAGAGAAATAAAGGGGGTAGCTTCAAAAAGAAAATGATACTTTATAAATTATGGGAGTGTAAGAAAAAGAAAAAGAAGAAATTGGGATCAATGTGAAAAAATAAAAATTCATATTTTGTAATCGTTATTTTTATTTCAATAATTCTTTTATACGTAGTAATAACATTTTTACATAAATTTTTAATTAAATTTCTGACCATGCATCGCACGGGTACGAATTTAGTTTATTCTATAAGATGAAGAGTTAAGAATATACCCGTTCCCTCCCTCATAGAATCTCGTACTTTAACTTCTCAGAAATTAATAAAAATGTTCAAAGGATATGAAAAAAATAAAAACATATGTGATTATAATTATTTTAAAAAGTGAAAATGAATAATATCAACATATTTAATTTAAAAAAGAAAGTAAAAAAATGACAAATTGATTTTTAGACGTGCTAAAAAAGGAGAATGTAAAGTTATTTCAAAACAAAGAGATAGAGTTAAACTTTTATGGAGTTGTGTTATCTAAGATGAGCATGTGAAATGTGTACAAACTCAGATACTTTCATATGAACTATGATTGGATGCATTTATTTTTACAATATCCAATATATATAACTATTTTATGTATTAAGATTTATAAAATGAGGATATATTCAAGGGCCACAAAAAGTTAGACATTTAGTGATATATGTTTTTGATATACAAACTACGGCCCCGTTCTGCTCAACTTTTTTTTCTTATTCTTATTAATTAAAATCAGATTAGATCAGATCAGAACAGATCAGATCAGATCAAATTGAATCAGATCAGATCAGATCCCATCAAGAATTATTATTATTATTATCAGCATTACTATTATTATTCTTAAAAATGAAAAAGAATAATTATTAGATGCCAAACAAAATTATTTTTAAAATACATTGAAAATGTCAATCTAATTCTACTTTTAAAATACATTTTTATTGCTACCTGCAATTTGAGTTTCTAAAGTTTTGATCTTTTATAAGGATGAGATATTTTAATAAAAATACTACCCCTTCTATATATTGATTATCTAAATTTGATTACTTTTTGATGTATATATAAATTAAATATTTATTCTAATGTATATATGAAGTAATTATTAAAATATTAAATTAATATTCTAATTTACCAACAAAATATTATTACATTTTAATATGAATGATTATTCTAATATATGAATTAACTAATTTTAAATCAAATCATAATTAATCAGATCAGATCCAATCAGATCAGATCAGATTCAATCATATTAGACCAATCAGATCAGATCCAATCAGATCAGATCCAATCAGATCAGACCAGATCAGATCCAATAAAATCAGATCAAATCCAATCAGATCATATCAGAATAGGTCAGAACTTATTAAAATCAGATCAGATTAGAAAAAATAAGTTGAACGGAACGGGGCCTCATCTTACGATCATACCGAGTATTAAACTTTACACTACTAAAAGTTGATGTCAATATTATTAGCAATTTAAAATTTTAGATAAATATTTCAAGATTACATGATTATTTAGTACTCCCTACATCTTTGAAAAATATGATAGTTTGGTTTCAGGAGAGGTAGAAACCATCAATTACACAAGTGCTCATTTTCTCCGTGTCGTGTTAACAGCCTTGATTTCACAAAAATTAAGAAAAATATTACAAAAATGGATGAAAATGAAAAGCATGCTATTGAAATTTATTTAGGCCGCACCATATTGTACACGAAATTAAGACTATGTTAGAATTTAATTCTACGGAATTGAATTGGATAGAACTGATAACTACTTAAATTTTAAATCATCATTTGTTTTGTATGATTAAGAAATTGATATTGAATTATACTCCGTATGATAATTTCGAATGCTTTGTTTGGTGACACAAAATTATATGTCGTATTGATATAGAATTGATATGGAATTGGCTGTCTATGTCAGTTATTCCGAATAACTAATAAGTTTAGTCATTTTGACTACTTGATGTGTTAGCAAATTGCTAAAAAAAGTTTGATGAAATTATATACTCCCTCCGTCCCTAAATAGATTACATTTTTTCTCTCTCCTCTCGATAATTTTTGTTTGTTTACGCGATTTCATTAAATATTTGATAAAATAAAATAATCTTGTCACCTCTTGTTTTGTAGAACTTTTGACGTAGTTTTTTAATATGTAATTTTTATATCTTATTGATATACCAATTTGTAAATAAAATGCTTTCAAAAAGTAGGAAATTTTACTCCGTAACCCGCAATTTGTAATCAAATTGGGGACGGAGGGAGTACTCCGTATTTTTATAAAGCTATTTCAAGATTTGAACACACACATGCATGCATGCATGCATACATACATACATATACACACACACATTGAATTTTATTTTTTTATTTTTAAAGTTTAACTACTAATTTTAAATATCTTATTTTAGTTTTTAACTTTTAACTTTTAATTTTTATTTTTTAAAATATAAAATCTGAAGTTTGATGTTTTAATATTTAATTTTTAGTTTTAAATTTTTATTTTTCAAAATTTTTTATTTTTAATTTTTAACTTTGGTTTTATAATTTTTAACTTTTTAATTTTTTCTGAGTTTTAAACTTTAAATTCTTAATATTTAATTTAAATTTTAATATTTTGTTCCTATCTGTAATCTTTAATTTTTAATATTTGATCTTTTCTTTTTTATTTTTAATATTTAATTTATAGTTTTTAATTTTTAATTTGGGTTATTTGGTTAGTCAAATAATTTAAGGTAAGTCAAAGAAGTCAAAGCAGCATGAAAAGTTATATTTCAAACACACTGAATGGCACAAAGTCTATAAGACTTTTTTCTTTATTATGACCTCAAAAAAATCCATTTGATTTTATTTGACCCGTGGAGTTCAAATTGTGAATTTTATTTGTTTGCTATTTAATTTAATGAAATTTGAAATGTGGAATTGAAAAATTTGGAATTAAACATTAATTCGAAGTTAACATATTTTTGTGCTATCAAAAAAAAGATTTGAATTTGAAGTCTCCAACTATAATTCTGTGATTAAATTCTGTATACCAAACTGAGTCTTAAAAGAAAGTATCGAGTTTCTAAAAAAATGTTCCAAAATGTAAAGTTTATATTTTAAACATTCCAAAAAGAAAAGAGAAAAAATGTTTCAAATATGGAAGGAATACGGAGTACTCGTATTATTTATGAAGTCAAGGGTTAAAATACAAGTTCAATTTCTAGCAATTGTCTTGCGAGGCAATTCTGCTAAGCATATGGTCTCTTTAAGTATCAGGTGTAGGTTTCATTATTTGCTATCATTCTGTGATCAAAATTCAATTTATCTCTTTTTAGTAACCGTATGACCGGGTCTGAGGATGCCATGCTTTTTTTTACTCCGTACTAAGATTATGACATGAATTAATGGAAATATTTCGTACAGTGAATCAATTATGGGAGAGAGAGTGTGTGAATGGTACCCATGAATGAGTGAAGAGGTGGGGTACCCCATTTCGTACACCATGCATCTTAATCTTTCATTTATTTTTTTATTTTTAATTTTTTTTCTCTCTCTTGTTTTGTGTGGTGGAGATGGAGGAGGGTACAAATGGGGTACCCCAAATGGTGTACCCCTAGCATTTTTGATGAGTGAATGCTGTGTATAATAGACAAAAAAGAAAGATAAAATCAAAGAAATAATAAATAAAAAAACACTGCGCTGCGCTGCTGCCTGCTGCTGCTAAACATTTCATGTGTGCCCCAGAAAAGAGGAAAGAGGGAAAAAAGAAAAAGTTGAGAGAAAATGGAGCCTTTTCCTGCTCCAAAACCCATGGCAGCCATCATTCTGTCTTCTTCAATCCAAAGCTAAAAGAAGAGCATGATAGCCATTCTTTCTTTGTCACTCTGCTCCTGATCCAGTAATTATCTCATCCATGCCATTTTCAGGTCTCTCTCTATCCCTCTCCAAAGATTTATCCCCATTTGGGAAATTTCTGAATCTTTTTGGGGTCTGAACTCACCGACACTAATTAAACTTTGAATCTCTAAGCAATTCAGTGTTTTGTTGTGCTAAAAATGTGTCAAAGATTGGTTTTTTATTTGTTAGTTTTGATGTAGTGAAATATGTTACTAGTCTTTATGGAAAAATCCCATTAATTTCTTCAACTCTTTCTTCTTGTGCTTGTTACTTGATGACTTTTGCATCAGATCTGAGTTTTTTTACATGCACTGTGAACATTTTTGTGGACAATATAGTTTTTTGGTCCCTGTTCTGAAATTTCAGTGTTTTCTTGCTATACCTTATTAAGGAATTAACTTAACTAAAAACTCAAGATTGCCGTAAGAAAGATTGTATACTCTAACACGCCGTGAACATAATTTTGTGAACTGGGTGTGGCCGTGTGGGTGAGGTTTGAACTCGTGGCCTCTAGGTCAACAAGATTTTGATAATATGTTAAGTAAACAACTCAATCAAAAGCTCAAGATTTACTCTGAAAAAGGTTTTATACTCTAACATACCGCGTGATTTCCTTTGTGTGCAATGTAGGCTTTAGATTGGGTATTGAAGCAAAGAGGAGTTCTGATTTGTTACAAACTCACTATGCTTAAGCAAATCCTTTCGAAAATTCCTCGAAAATCACTGAAATCTGATTCTCAAGACCTGGCAAGGAACAAAAATAATGATGATTCTCCTGCAAACACTGGCAATGGGATGCAGTTTACCAACAGCTGTAGTGTCATAGGGAGCTGTCGTCTGAATGTAGTGAAACGCGTGTCATCTGCCATTTTTCCAACTGGTGGGGGAGAGAGAGAGACCATCTCTCCACACTCGAGCTTCAAGGATGTGTCAAATGGGGAGAAGCTAAGCCTCTTTATCAGTAAGCTGAACTTCTGCTGCTCAATGGATGATTCCACTGATCCAAACAAGAAAGATTTGAAAGCCCAAATGTTGATTGATCTCAACGATTATGTCACTTCCGGATCAGCTAAATGCACCACTGAACCAGCAATAGCTGCAGTTTGTAGAATGTGCGCAGTTAACCTCTTCAGAGATTTCCCGCCAAAGTATGGTCGTGGTGATTTCGTAGACGAAGAAGAACAGTTCTTTTATCCTGCCTGGCACCATTTGCAGCTTGTCTATGATCTCTTTCTTCATTACCTGAGCCTAAGTTCTCTTGACCCGAAGGTCGCCAAGAAATCTATAGACCATTCTTTCATTACAAAACTGCTAAATCTGTTTGAATCCGATGACCCAAGGGAAAGAGAGTTCTTGAAGTCAGTCCTTCACAGACTCTATGGGAAGTTTATGACGCACAGACCCTTTATCAGAAAAGCTATGAGTAACTCATTTTATCGGTTTGTTTTTGAGACTCAGCGTCACAATGGGATAGCAGAGCTGTTGGAGGTTTTTGGGAGTGTCATAACCGGTTTCGCCTTGCCACTAAAGGAGGAGCACAAGTCGATCTTCTCTAGAGCTTTAATTCCTTTACACAAGCCAAAGTCATTAGGTGTGTATCATCAACAGCTCACGTACTGCGTTGTGCAGTTTGTCAAAAAGGAGCAGAGTCTTGCTAGCGAAGTGATCACAAGACTCCTGAGGTATTGGCCTTTGACCAATAGCCAAAAGGAGGTAATGTTCATCGGCGAGATAGAAGAGGTGTTGGAAATGATAAGCTTCTCTGAGTTTGAGAAGATCGCGACCCCTCTATTTCGGCGTATAGGATCTTGCCTCAACAGTTTCCACTTCCAGGTACAATAAATCTCTCTCATTTCCTCCTTGCATCAAGTCATGTTTCTGGGCACTTCCCAAAAGGCCTCATACTGATGGAGTTAGTGGTTTGGTCTGGCATTTTCAGGTGGCCGAACGAGCACATCTCTTATGGGGAAACGAAAGCGTCCTAAAACTTATCATGCATGCGGAGCGCGCGACCGTTCCCATAGTTTTGTCAGCATTGGAGAGGAACAGCCAGAACCATTGGAGCAAAGCCATTCGAAACCAGTCACTAAACATCAGAAGAGTCTTTCATGAAATGGAGAAGGAGGCGAAGATCGACATGGGAACACCTTGAGATAGCTGTTCAGAGTTTATCCACCAGTGTCTGCCCTGTTAATTAGCTATTCTGATTGATCAACCCTTTTGTTCTTCTTCTTCTTCTTCTTCTTCATCTCTTTATGAAAGCAAAACATTTTTTTGATCAGAAAATATGGCTGTAAATAGGACTCTAAAAGGTTTTCCATCTGCTAATAACACCTTCTTAGAATATTAGATACTGCCATTGTGATTTCTTTCATGATTGGAAGATGAATGGTGATTCCTAGTTGTTGTGAGTTTATTTAAACAAGCCTAGCTAGCTAGCCTGCGGTATAAAAAAATAGCTTTCTCATAGAACATACTTCACTGACTTTTGCTTTTTTGATGTATTAAAATAATAAAAATGAATGAATGTAGACCTAATTTGTGTTCATGTTTATTTAACTTTTGTTATACCACAAAAGCCATAATGATCTCTTAAGCAAGCATACAGTTACAAACAAAACCAATGGGAAAAAAAGTAAATACTTGATCTTTTCACGTGATATAAAAGTTATTTTCACAATTTAAATTATTTATATAGAAAAATAATCTTTTTATAAAAATATGTTATTTTCACTCTGTATTTCAATATACAAATAAAGATCTTAAATTTGTATCATAATCCAATGCTCCCTTAATCATGTAAAAAAGTTCCGAATGCAAAGTATTTTCAATTTGAATTATATGACAATTGGTGTAAAAATAAAAAACTACTCCGTAGTAGTTACATACCAATATCCAATGTTTATAAAGCAATGCAAGAAGATAAGAGTTTGACCATGTAATACTAAAATTATAAATATTTTTTCTAGTAAAAAATAATTTAAATAGAACCTCCTTTAGTTTTGAAAAGAGAGTTTTATTTGACAAGTTTAAAGTCACTTGATATTGCAAACCTTATTTGATTGTGCATTTAATTCAAACAGAGTAACAATTATACACTAATTTACATGTAAATCATTATTTATTTGATGAAAAAAATGAGTATCTTTTCATAGAATTATAAATTTTACACTTATCCTAGAGACCTTAGCAATTGGTCTAAGATTAATGCTGCAGGGCTAAACTCTCTCTATCTCTCTCTTAGGAAGTCAGTTGAATTAGAATGCTCATGTATCTTTAAGCTCGAGCATTTGATACTGAGTGTGATTTTTTGAAATGGGTTTTTGTTCCTCTAATTAATATTTGTGATGTTTCGAACTTGTATGATAAAATTTAGGATGAGTATGGACAACTGGATTAGACTATAAGACACTTGGGCTGAACCACATTAAAAGATTGAATCCAATCGATTACTTAGTTCAACTCAAGAGCTTATATACCGATTAATTTCCTCACACTTTTCCGATGTGGGATGCTCTTTAATATATATTACTCAGGATTTTACGCAATAATGTTGCTAAATAAAAAACTATTCTTTGACGAAGTCATTAGTAATTTTATTATTTTCACTATTTTTGAGAATCGGCCCCAAAAAATCTAAACAACCATGGGTGAAATATGTTTTAATTCCACTTTAATTTTCAACATAAATGATACTTCCATCTTAAGATTAGTGTCAACCATGGGTGATATATTGACTTTCAGTATATCTTTTTATAGGTATAAAAACTTTTTATCATATCTTAACACAATACCATTGGTTTAGAAATTATTGTAAATGAGTAAATAAGAGTTCTCTGATTAAAAATTAATTTACTTCTTATCATTCGATTTGTTCCAGATACTTTTAAAAATAGAACCGGATCGACCGGTTCAACCCCAAAACTATTGAACCGGTCACCGAGTCGGTCCAGAATGGCCTATTAGACTGCTTCATGTATCAACCATTTATTGTTACATATTTGTTTTAAAGAGTATAATTAGTAAAAGATTTGAATAAATATCATGAATTTTTTTTATTCTAAATATTCTATTCCAAAATATTATGATTCTTGTTTTTTAAATATTCATACTCTTACCTTGAACATCTTTTAATATTTATTTAAAAAATATACATGAAAATTTTTATTTCGATACTTTTGGAAAATATTTGATAAATAAAAGTAATCTTTGTTTTATAGAGCTTATAATATACACTCTCCATACCTATTTTTTTTATTTTTACGCTATTAATGAAATAAATTAAATTTAAAATAAATTCAGTCGAATATCATAAACTGTATATTGAAATTAAATTACGAATGAGAAATTGTGGAAAATGCCTTCTGTAAAAAAAATGAAAATCAGTTCTCTTTAAATAAGCATTATTATCCGTTTTCTTCGAATATCATGATTTGCTATTTCTTATTTTACAAAATAGAGAATACCAGAAAAATGAGAAAATGACTTCCGGAAGCCATTTCCCCACTCACCCTATAAATTCAGTTGAAAGAGACCCCAAATTTGTAAAACAAATAATGAGCATATATATAGCTGTCATGATATATATTATTGGATATGATATGATCCCTGATCATCATTATCATTAATTAATATTGTCCAGTTAATATAGTCTAGCTAGCTATCACATAATCACGTCACTAGCTATATAAATGATCCCTGGAATATTTTGGACTGTCAAGCTTATTTAGACGTTGCTAATTAATTAATGTCTTTGTCAATGTTAATTTGTTGACAAATTCATACACAATCTTAGCTTAACATGCATACCACTAAACCATTTTATCATAACATCAGTAGCATTAATCATGTCACAATTTAGACGAGGGTTTTCTTTAATACATAATGATTATTGTGTTTCTTATCATTTAAATCATATTTTTAGTTACAATGAATTTGTTTAATAATGACAGACTAGATATAAATAATTATATATACTGAAATATATGATTGTGTCTATAATATACAATACCACGTCTTTTTGTTTAAGTATTTATATATTGTATTTATACCCACAAACATGAGAAATTTTCAAGTCTTAAATATTTGGGGTCCTGCCTAGAACCACTTCTAATCGCTACATCTGTCATCACACTTGCAGTGCAATTCTAATATATAAAAAAAACACCATAAGTTCATGATATGAAAATAAAACATAATAACAAAAAATTAACTTGTACTAGCAATCTTTAATGAACAATGAGATGAAATCTAAAAAATGGTTAAATGCGTAATGGATTTTTAAGAATGAAAATATCGTTGATAAATAATACGGTGACAAAAAAACTATTCTATACGAGTAGCAAATTTGTTAATTTCTAAGGACATGTGTTATCGGGCTTGACCTGCGGCGTCATTGTGTCCGTCACGGTGTGGCGGAGGCATGACGCATGGGGCTGGATGGCCACCACGGGCGTTGCCGGCTAGATTTTCGAGGAAATAGCCGTTAGCCGTCATTAGGTCCAAAACAAATCTATAAATTGAGGAGAAATGAATGTGTACCTACTCCCAAAATCCACTACATATTCCAAAAAAAATGAATTTAGATGAAGAAAACAATCACTTCTCGTCTTCCGACGACGACGATTTGATATATCTTTGCGTTGCGTTAAAGCTACAGTAAGCACTATCGTGGCTCTTACTAATGAAAGTTCTTCCCAAGAGATTACACATCAGAGAAGGATCAACCGCGACCGTGGGGGTGGGGCTGCAAATTATACCAACGCCTTATTGAAGATTATTTTTCAGAAACTCTAGTTTATAACAAAGATCAATTTAATTGTCGTTTTTAGATGAGTTGCAATTTATTAAATTCTATTTTCAGCAACATGGAGAATCATTCTCCCTTTTTTCACCAACGGATAGATGCTATTAGGAGCAAAGGGATTCACTTCACTGCAGAAGTGCACAAGCGCTACGGCACGACAAGCGATTCATGTGACGAGTATTTGAAGATGTCAGACAAAATTTCTCGTGATAGTCTCTATCATTTTTCTAAAAGTAATTTTTTTAACTCAAACATATGTACATCATTTTTAGTTTAATATATTATGTACATTATGTACATTTATTTATAGGCATCACCAATCTATACATTCCTGGATATGTGCGACAGCCAACGTGGAGCGACATTGATTGGACACACTAAGCGTAGGAAAATTGCCCTACGGCGTGGCAAGGGTCACATCAACAAAATGATCACCCAAAGTCCAACATTAATGCTCGGAGGATGAGAAAAGATTGTATTTCAACGTCGTGAAATCGTTATTCAAACCTAGTGTTTTCAGAGTCACGGGTTAAAAATGAGCGAAATTTAAATTTGTCATGTCTACATTAAGACGTTGAGAAAGCATTGCACGGTAAGAAAAACTTGTTTACTAAGGTTGGGTGGTGGCACCATGTGACTTACTCTCAAGTGAGATCATAAACCAGATTTACCCAAGAGTAGAAGCTGCAGTAAAAAATCAAAGTCAAGAATGAAGATCACATTTCCTTGGCCCCAAATATAATTCTACAAACCACATTACAGCCACGCCCTATGGTCTACATTGATTCCTTTAAATTATCAATTAGCTTCACAAATTTATACTCATAATATTACATCTTCATTTAAGCTTTAGAGTTTAACAGGAGGAGAAGACCTTGGAAGGAGAACAAAATGGTTGAGCCATCATCTAAAATAGAATCGTACCGTGAATTGATCAGTCAGCGATGCGAAGAGAAAGGACGCATTTATGCCTGGTTTGTTCGTTTCCTTTTTTTTCAATTTACACTTTTCTTATTTGGGTGAATATATGTCTGATATTTTTTTAAGAAAGAAAAAAACTGCAGGTTTTTGCTTTTTGTTGCTGCTTTTGCTGCCATGAGAACTGTGAAGACTGTTTGGAATGCCTCTGCTGCACTTGAGTTACCATTGATCTTACGTAAATAAAGGGAAACGATAATCTTGTCGTGTTTCATTTTTATTACTCTTTAGTTTATATCTTATGAAGAAATAAAGGTGGAAGAAGATTTTATTGTCTGAATTGCTAAACACTTGATATATAAGTTCTTCCATTCCATAATACCATCTTTGTTTCTTAGTAGCTAGCACCTTAATCCCGACTAGTTGAACAGGTTGGCATGAAAATTAGGTTCAATTATTTGTCTAAAACTAGTCAACGCTA